AAAACAAAAAGAAAACTATCTTTATCGACTCCAAATAAAATTTCAACATTTATAAGCCACTGGAAACCATATATAATCACTATGCTTTAAAAAGCACCTTTGCACCAAATTTACATTCGAATCGTAACAGACCAAATATCTCAAAAATCTTTGCCCTCGCCAGCCTGATATCTCTAATACAAGCTAGAACTAGTTAAACCCCTGCATAACTCGTGCCAAGTCCTACCTCGAACATGCTTTCACACACAACGAAAGAAATTTAGATAAGTTTTTGTTCGGATTTTTAACCCCGGAGGGTTAACCACCCAGGATAACACAAGAAAGGCAGTGCGTCATCGAGGGGGTTATCTGTCTTATTTACATTATGGTCCTCAATCTTGTCCCCCAGGATGCGACCCACACCAGTCGACTAACACCCAGGTACCTACTTCCTTGATAGGTAAACGGGAACAACAGGTGTAAAGAAACACGCCCAATGTTTCCGCTACAACAGTTCTTCGTGTCACCTCCATCCGCTGTGTAAACGTCTTTCTACAATTCTCTTGCATATACCAAGGATGATCCCAATTTGGGGTCGAATTATACAAACTTTTATTCCTGTTAATTGTCGCATTATCTTAGTTTTGATTTGCAGTGAGTGATGAAAAGTACAATATTAACCAAGACTTCTTAGTCTCTACCATGTAGTAAACACTACCACGTAGTAAACACTACCATGCAGTAAAGACAATAAAGACTTCACAACCATGAAGGTCTCTGGTTGTAGTTGTCTTCACTTCTCGTATGACCATAACCCAAAATGGAGAATAATATAACCTAATTTCCCTCAGACGTCTTAGCGTCTACCCACCTTCCCAGCAACCTGACGAGTGCCGAGTGACTCACGCGGATTTACCAATTCGTGAAATACAAGCTTCTTAGGCTTACAATATAGCGGAAATTGTTTCTGTAGTAGCATACATGCTTGCGCACGCAGAAAGAGGCGTCTGCTGCAGAAGAGGAGGCTTTCATATTGATGGAGAAACACTTATATAGATTGGAGATCATATCAATTATATGGAGAACACTTATAATGAGCGGAGAGCCTTGTAAAGAGGCGGGCAACAATTATAAGGGATGAGGTGCCTTTAAAAAGGATAAGAAACACTTACTAAGGTTAGAGTGCGTTTTAAAGGGATGTGGAACATTTATATGAGCTGGGGTCCCTTTTCAAGGCATGGAGAACACATATAAGGAAAGGGTGCTTTTTCAAGAGATGAAGAACACATAAGAGATGGGAACCTTTTCAAGGAATGGATAACATATATATGAGATGGGTACCTTTTAAAGGGAAGGAGAACACTTATAATACGTGTGTCTTTTTCAAGGGGATGAAAAACACTTATAATGCTAAGGATGTGTTTTAAAGGCATGTGTATGTCTCATAAAAAATAAGGGACCTCTAATGAATACTGGGAGTCTCTTTTATAAACAATCTCTTACAGATTGCAGGAGCATTTTCACAGCATTAAAAGAACCTCTTACAAGGATTCTGGACATTTCACATATATTAGGAACCTCTCATTGGGACAGGGAACCTCTCATAGGGACAGGGAACCTCTCATTGGGACAGGGGACCTCTCATAGGGACAGGGAACCTTTCACAGGTGTAAGAAACCTCCCAAGGAGGGATGGGGAGCCCCACAAGGGCTGGAAATCCACCTTACAAACAGTTCGTAAGAAAAAACTTGTAAAATCTTTATGAAAATAGTTGTTAACTAGTGCATACGAGGGCTGCTTCCCACTATCCTCTCTATACTTTATCTTGCTAGTGTGTATGTGTGTGCAAAACTAATCTAGTAGAAGAAATGGGCACAACTACCGTATATTTTTTGAAATAGATCTTCTTTCCTTTGAAAATCAAAGGGTTTTAGTATCCTCTACGAATAAAAATATGGCGTACAATACTAGGTCTGGGGAAACGAAGTTCTATTCGGTTAGGGTTGATATTATGGCTGACAGTGATGTCTGGGTTACAACTGTGGTGCCCCTACGACCATGTCATGCAGGATTGGGAAAGGGAGATCAGTTGTAGCCATGATTTTAAGTCTAAAGTCCAACTAGGAAACTAGTAGCTCTCTAGCAGTGATTAACTCCATTAGGCACCTCGGTACTGACTCCTAGTTTAGCATTTGTAGTCTAGTGTTCTCTGGGCTAACTTTGGTTTTGAACCTATTATATTATGCTTGATTTATTCTCTCTACGCTTTTCCACAGTTATTCTTGTTAAATGTATTCTTGTGTTTATGTTCTCCTTTAATTCTCATCTCGCCCCTCGATTTTTCCTCCTCACGTCGTATATTTTCTTCCTCTGGACATTTGTTTCACAATTCCATTTTTACAGACCTGGTATGGTATCAGTATTTTCTCGCTACACGATGAATTCTATAAATGGCTTCCAGCTTCGTATTCACAAAAGCCACTTCATCAAGTGATCTCTAGAACAGCATTCACATAAGCTAAAAACCAAAAAGCATCCACATAACTTTTAACTGATCTCCAAAAGGGCTTCCTTGTCGGTATGAGCTCAAGTTCAGACATTGTCTTTCTAGTTATCAACAGATCGTTAAGAGAATCTCCTGTCTTGGTATGAACTAGCGTTCACACGCTGCCTTCATTTGTAACAGATCGCTGTATCTTTCTTGCTAGGAACCTGCATTCAAACACTGTTTTTTTAGGTATCAACAAATATCTAACAGAATGTCCTGTCCTGGTATGAACTAGCGTTCACACACTGCCTTCGTTTGTAACAGATCGCTAAATGTATCTCTTTCTTGAAAGGAACTAGTATTCAGAGATTGTCGATCTACTTAACAAGCGATTACTAAATAACTTCCATCCTCATCGCAAACTGACTGCTAGAAAAAGCGCAGCAAGCACGAAACAAACATGACACTGTGAAATATCTTCACACAGAAAAACACTAGAATACTAGAAGACTATTTGGCAACGTTTGGTCGAGTCTTCTCCCATTCTGGTGGCTTTCAAGACATTATTTATAAGTCTCGCAAGGTTCTTCATTCCCGTACGTTCCTCTTGGGAGATTTCTCAACACAGTTCCTTGGGAGAGATGAATAAAGCATTGATACATAAAGATTATACAGTATTTGCGAGAACACATATACCACCAGTTATATTATACACTACATGAAACAGTATGTGGTATGTTTATAATACAGGCTCTGTGATTTTGACAAACAGTTTCTTGGTATCCTCACTTGTCCAAAATGTTTCTTACTAAGTACAAATTCAGTCGCTTATAATTGCATTTCCATGTCAAAGGGTTCTCAGTCTTTACAAAGAGGTGCCCTGATACCGGAAGGGCTCTTGATAAAGGAAATTAGAGTAATCTTCCTCTTCCTATGCAAACTTGATTGCCTTCCATTTCCCCCAAGAGCTGTATGACCCTTTTAGGTTTAAAGCTTCCTCATGAATACAACAATAATGATAATTCAGTCTCGAGAGTAATAAAGAGGACACAAGAGCACATCATGACTGATGCCTCCAAACGTTGGGTCCTGTACACCACAGCCTTACTCAGTACATACGTATCAAATTATTATCGTCAAGGGGAAACGTTAAATCTGTAGAGAATGGGGTTAGTCAGGCTAAATCTGGGGAATGGGGTTAGCTAGGCTTCTTCCAAAGAAAGGGGAAATTAGCTTCATTTTCTCAGACCAAGAGCCCTTCACCAGCATCAAAGAAACAAAGATCCCACTTTGGAAAGTGTATGTATCAAGACTATGGAATTGTCCTGATGGAACACTTCTTTAATTGCCTGTGAGAGGCTTGCTTTAAACCCTGGCACGATCTTCGTCACGAAATTTATATATATAAAATATATATATATATATATATATATATATATATATATATATATATATATATATATATATATATATATATATATATATATATATATATATATTATATATATATATATATATATAAAGCAGACATTAGAGCATTCCTGGTGCAGATGTTATTTCCTTCCAGCTATAAGACTCTTGTACGTCATTCAGTGAATGGATCAGTGGGGAGGGGCTTCAAATATGAATTATGCGAGTACATGCAAGTAGTGTGTGTCTTGCTATTAGCAGCACTCCTTGTGCAGGATGACCAACACGGGGCTTTAGTTCTTCACACAGCAGAAGTAATCACAGACCACTGTAGTTTTCAAAGTCATCGCTATGAGCAAGCCAGCAGTCATTTTCGAAGGTTCTAAGTGCCCCATCACAAGGTTCAATACTTGAGTAACACGTGCCCCTTCAAAACGTATTATGATAGAGTCACAAGTTCACCTTCACAAGGGTCTATGCTAGAGTCGTAAGTTTCATTTCACTAGGATTTGTAAAGTAAGTTTCTCCATTTTCCTTCACTTAGCCTAGGATCTACGATATAAATTTGTCGTATATACACCGTTTTCTTTAAACATATTTCTACTTAAAGTTATTTTATCTCTCCCACTCTCTCTCTTAATGATCAAATTTTATCCTATCTGACCAGACACACACACACATATATATATATATATATATATATATATATATATATATATATATATATATATATATATATATATATATATATATATAGAAAAGGGTTTGAAGGCCTGAGCTTGCTACCACCTGCAGCTCACAAGACTGCCATCCCCACGAGCCCCTTTGGGGCGGGGCAGATGGCAGACCAGAGGCCTAGCTTCTCCCTACGAGCCCCGTGAGGGCGGGGAATGTGGCTAGGCCTGGGGACAGTTGGTCCCAAAGATGAGGGGGTACTTGTACCTCCTCCCATGGGAGACTTAAGTCTCGAGACACTCCCCAGATAGGGAGCCAAGGCCGGGTCACCACTACATGGAAAAGACCCGGGCCGGGAGAATACCGGCGAATAATAAAAAAAAAAAAAAAAAAAATATATATATATATATATATATATTAATTTAATTTACAGTAAATGTATGTATATATATTATGTTCAAGGAAGCAATTTTATACAGTACAAACCACATTACCTAAAAATGGTACAAATTACCGTATTGTCCTTAAACAATAAATAGGACTTCACTGACAACTCAAAATATCCTACTACAGTATTTTTTAAAGAATCAGAATGCTTCATTTGATATTTCAAAATAGCTACCAAAGTTGGAAGGTTTTGCTGGATGCTACACAAATACACCTACGACACAGAAGTCCTTCATAAATACGCTAGATACCGCTTCTTTAGTCACTTCTTCAAAAACAAGCTTTGTGATCATATGAAAAGTCTAAAGAAAATATATATTATATATATATATACTTTGGTTTATACATACAAGGGAGGCATTTGCAGTTCAGTAACAGCTTCTTGGTGTCTCGTCTCTCTAACACAGAGGAAGACAGTGAGAACAGTATCAGATACATAAATATAGTGAGAATTAGATACAGAAAGGTGTTAACTGATACTAAATTAGGTTTGACAGTAAGAGAATATTGAATTTTATCGCCAGTCCAAGATAGTGTTGTGTTTGTCTTAAGAAATGAAAGAATTTCAAGTATATCACAAGATACACTACTGCTTTGGTTAAATTCGTTGACTTCATATGATTCGTAAAGAAATATTTGTGTATTATGTATATGCATAACTGAAAAGGAAAACAATAATAGCTGAAATAAAACATAACCTATGTACGTGGTTCATGCTGGAACAAGACACTAGCTGAGGGTGCGAGACCCAGACGGCCGGGGTTATAAATTGGTGGTCTTGGCTATTTTGAGAGCCCTCTTGATCCTTAAGGTGCGCTTGTCGCTGTTCTGAGTCTCAGACGACAAGTCGCGATAGTAATGCTCCGTCGCTGACCACCTCTCCCGGCGCCACGACGACCGACGCTTCTTCTTCAGTCTACCCCCGTACGTCCCATCCTGCAAGAAAATGGGTAGTCCATATTGACCGTAGACTAAAACATTCTCACTCGTCCAAGACCTGACAGGTTTTCATTTAGGTTTTCGGTACATTACATATATTTTTTCTACAGTGGTCTTAAGGGCACACAGGTGTTATGGGAACATTAAACGCACATCTAACCTAGGATAACCCAATAAAGTCAAACACTAATTTATTTCCACTGGTTTCCCTATACGTTGATTCCTTAATGGAAAAATAATTCGTGTTGCATAAAAATAAATACAAGTATAAGAACTTGAGTTATCTTCCTCTGCATGCACACTAACTTCCAGTCTGTTACACTGGGAAATAATGTTTCAAGAGATGTTGAAAATGGTATAAAATACCGACAATGTAACTGTATTTATGAGTACCTGAATAAACTTACAAGTTGGTGATTAAGACACGTATTTTAATCAATAATGTTAACAGAGATTAGAAACCTTATTCCAATGTACCAGTTGGTTTAATATGTCTGCTGGAGTCGCCGACTTATAATGAGTGTTTGGTTAGTAATTATACTACTATCTAGGGGTGGGAGTCCTATGATCACTTTAGTCATTCACCTGGACTGTCACCATTTCAGTTATAAGCTGGGTGAAAACCCCAGAGACGCTGGATATCTATACATTTCCTGATACCCTAATCATCCTGAAGTAGGCAAGGATTTTTCGGTTTATCATTATTTACAATTAACCAGTCATCTCACAGCAAAAGAGTTTGCTCCCAGCTAAAAGGGGTTGTTAGCTGGGAAGACCTTAGCTAGGGGGAGCTTCCATACCTGGAGTGACGCTTCTCTTCGTTCTTCGTTCACCTTAATCATAAAAACGAATGTATAGGGAATTAGTGAGGGAAAAAGCATCATATTAATTATTTTCGAGGGAGGTAACTTTATTTATTGGATTCAGGGACGGGACTTTTTTTATGGACTCAGGGATGGAACTTTTTTTATGCATTCAGGGATGGGATTTTTTTTATGGATTCAGAGATGAGATTTATCAAAACACTTCGAATTCAGCCACTCACGTCATTTCGCTTCACTAAGTTAATTTACGGAAACTAACATAACAATCACGCCAACACTACATGTCACATGGTGGTGTCACCTGGTGATGTCACCTGGTGATGTCACCTGGTGGTGTCACCTGGTGGTGTCACCTGGTGGTGTCACCTGGTGATGTCACCTGGTGGTGTCACCTGGTGGTGTCACCTGGTGGTGTCACCTGGTGGTGTCACCTGGTGGTGTCACCTGGTGGTGTCACCTGGTGATGTCACCTGGTGGTGTCACCTGGTGATGTCACCTGGTGGTGTCACCTGGTGGTGTCACCTGGTGATGTCACCTGGTGGTGTCACCTGGTGGTGTCACCTGGTGGTGTCACCTGGTGGTGTCACCTGGTGGTGTCACCTGGTGGTGTCACCTGGTGGTGTCACCTGGTGGTGTCACCTGGTGGTGTCACCTGGTGGTGTCACCTGGTGGTGTCACCTGGTGATGTCACCTGGTGGTGTCACCTGGTGGTCAATCAGTTTCATCTTTAGCGCCCAG